CATATATATAGTATATATATGTATATATAGTATAGGCGTAATTGTTATCATGCTTATAAAATACATTGCTTGTTCTCAGATCCTGCCTGGTGGCAGGTAAAGGATAATTAAGAGTCATGAGATGGCAAGATAATAGCTTTTATGTTACGTCGGTTAAGTACAAAATTGCTGTTAAGAAACCAATATAGATAATACTTATTGCCTTGCCTATAGAGACCAGTATCCTGGCTGTCACTGTGCAGAGTTGTGACGGAGGATGTTTGTGCTGGCCTTGCCAGTCACCATTCTCAACAAAATATTTCAGTCATAGGGTGTTGGTGATTTTACTTACATAGTTTTGCAGAAATAATCTACTTTAAATATGATATTCTCCTTCTTCGCCCCTGAAATTAGAGAAGGGGAATCCTTAAAGGAAGGAAAAATAGCTGTCGAGCTGCATTAGTTCACAGACCTTTGAACTATAACTAGTTTTGGCACTAACCATACTAGTTTTCTGAGTACAAATTGCACACATCTTCATAATTTTTTTTGTGAAAGAGGAAGATTAGAACAAGAATGCAACATGTAATAGCCCTTCTGAACAGAGTCCTATTTTGATCATTTTAAACTTCCATTTGGTCCATTTGCTTAAAAATAAATTCTAATTTGTTCTTGCAACAATTAACGTATCTGCAGCAAAGGTAAAGATTAACTGTTTCTACTGTTCCTAGCTTTGGCTAAAGTATACTTGGGTTTAAGTCTGAGCTTTTATTGTAGACAATGACATTTACTTTAGATGAACTGTCTAGTATCAGTAGCCCAAACTGTGTGTCTCAACATGTGTTGAGATGTCAGAAGGGATGAACTTGCATGTCCTTTCTCTACAGTTGTTTGGTCACTTTTAATGAAGTCTTGAAGTTCAAAATGAAATAGGAACTTAAAATGTGTTTCACCTATGTACACACATGTTATCCTACATCAGCTGTCAGAAATGGCTGGCTAGTCAGTGTATTGAGGGGTATTATGTGAAGAATGCTTAAAGGGGAAGCTATTTACTCTTCTTTTTTTTTTAATTTTTTTTTTCTGATATAAAATTATACAGCGCATTCCTAACTTGAAAATTTAAAAATATGTGTTTATGGTTCCTCATCTTCACATCACCTGGTAGCCTTTGTGGGGGGAGCTGTTATATTTGTTGTGCCCTTGTGTCTCTGAAAAGTCGAAAAATTTGGAAAATGACTAGTTTGAAAAATGTGTGTCTTGTTTTTGCAGCACGTCAGTGCTTTCACGCTCTAAAGTTGATAAGGAGAGACTGCCTTCCATCACTGCACATCACAAGATGTGCATCTACTGCTTCTGTGCCTCGCATAACTACGCATTATACAATTCATCCTCGGGACAAAGACAAACGATGGGAAGGTAAGCGAGAAAATGCATTCTTTAAAAGCTTCTTTATTATTATTATTGCTCAGTTCTAAAGACACTGAAATGTGTTGCTCTTTTTTTCTTTTTACAGAAATTCTGTACTCTTAAATACAGTACTAATATACCAAATGAAATTTTGTGGTTGCTATCTCACAATGAGTGTTTTTAGTGCTATAAAATGAGATCAGATAAACTTGATACTAGTTATTTAAAGAAAATATATAAGCAGCTTTTGCTTTAGTGACTATCACAACAAGCTTTAATTCTGTCAGGTTGGATTTTTTCAGTTGTTCTTACTATGAGAGTTTGTGAGAAAATAAGATTAATATATATCTCTGGGCATTCCAGTCGCTACATTCAGCAATTTTAATGGCTTCAATTCCAGAAAAGGGATTGATTAATTAGTGTAAAATAAAGTAATTCTGAATAAGGGTCTTTTTTTTTTCTTTCTCCCTTACCTAGAGTTTCACTGAGTGTCTTTGATATAGCTAGCCAACTGGACTCTTAAGTTTAACATTCTAAGATCGTACTTACTTATGGTGCATAGAGATTGAGTATATGTTTTTATGGTATATCTCCTTACAACTTAAAAAGAGCTAATTTTACATTGGGATGCTAACATCCTTCTGCACTCTTCCAAGTACTGAAGTGGGGATTCTGTTAAATATTTAGCCTCCTTTTATGCAAGGTAATACTACTGCGATACCCAGTAGCCAGTTCTACAGAGCAAGGTTTAGTGAGAGAGAGGCTAGGGGAAATTGAAGATTGATTTATCTTACTATCTTTTTTTCTATTAAAGGGGTAAACATGGAAAGATTTGCAGAGGAAGCTGATGTTGTCATTGTTGGAGCAGGCCCTGCGGGTCTTTCTGCAGCTATTCGACTCAAACAGTTAGCTGCTGAGCATAGCAAAGAAATACGTGTTTGTCTGGTGGAAAAGGCTTCTCAGATTGGTGCCCATACACTCTCTGGTGCTTGTCTTGAGCCAAGGTCCTTACAAGAACTCTTTCCAGACTGGAAGGAGCGGGGGGTATGTATGAGCACATAAACACTGAAAATAATAGCTAGCTAGTAATGAACTCTGTATCTGACTCATTCTGGTATGACTTAGTACCTTGCTACTTAGTACCATTTCAAAATACGTTGATCTAACAAAACAAAAAAACCCCTACCTTCTTTTTAGTCTGTTTTCTCTAGTTCAACAATGCTAAACTCTTATGTCTGCACAGGTATGCTGTGGCCTTTTGTCCTGGTTTCGCCTGGGATAGAGTTAATTTTCTTCCTAGTGGCTGATATAGTGCTGTGTTTTGCATTTAGTATGAGAGTAATGTTGATAACACACTGATGTTTTAGTTGTTGCTAAGTAGTGCTTAAGCTAGTCAAGGACTTTTCAGCTTCCCATTCTCTGCCAGGTGTACAAGAAGCCGTGAGGGAGCATGGCCAGGACAGCTAACCCAACTGGCCACCGGGGTATTCCATATCATATGACGTCATGCTCAGTGTATAAACTGGGGGGAGTTGGGGGAACAGTGAGGGGGGGGACAGGGATCGCTGCTTGGGGGCTGGCTGGGCATTGGTCGGTGGGTGGTGAGCAATTGTATTGTGCATCACTTATTTTTTATATTCTATTTTTTTTTCTTTTTTTTTCCCCTTCCCTTCCTTTTCTGTTCTGTTAAACTGTCTTTATCTCAATCCAAAAATTTTACTTTTTTCCTGATTCTCTCCCCCATCCCGCTGGGGTGGGGAGTGAGCGAGTGGCTGTGTGGGGTTTGGCTGCCTGCCGGGTTAAACCGCAACACCTTTGCTCTTTTATATAGTAGTTTTACTGCATATATGCAGTATGTCTGGTGCATCCCGGGATGCGCTACACGTACAGCATTTATGCAGAATCCAGCTCCCATGCACAAGCGGTAAGATAGTCGATTCTTAGCAGTGTCAGGCTTGTTGCTTCTGTACAGTAGTTCTTCATAGTCTCAGGAAATGGCGCATAGTACCCTGATTTTTGTGCAGACATAGTGCTGTAACGGAGGCCTAAAATGCTTTTAGGAGGGAGGATAGCAAGAGATGAGCTGCCATCTCTGCCTGCTATCAGGGCCATCGACTAGTTGTTTTGTCTTACTGGGCTAAACATGCAAGTTGAGCTGCCTTCTTTAGAAAGGGGTAGAGTATTGATGTAGTACAAGCCTGCGTACAAACTCTAGAAGTTATCTGCAAGGCCCTGTTCCAGTTTTCTTACCTCAATAGTTGTGTTAATTCTTGCCTGATGACTGCCTCATAGGGTACTTTATCTTCTCTCTTATGATACTTTCCTATAGAAGTGCTGTAATTGACTGCCAGTTCGATTGTTTGATTTTATTTTATTTTATTTGTTGTTGTTTTTGTTGGATTGGCTAGAAAAACATAACTCTCGGTACTGTTTCTATTTTCTTTTTTTATGTAGGCTCCACTTAATACTCCTGTAACTGAAGACAAGTTTGGAATTTTAACAAAGAAATCTAGAATTCCAGTGCCAATTCTTCCAGGTAAAGTTTGGTGAGGTGGTAAAAAGTCATCTTTCCCAGTATCTTTTTCAACTTTTCCATGAATGAAACAATTGATTTGATTCAATGTGGTACAGCAAGTGTTTGTAGAATGTGATAGCTTCCAGTGATATGGTCCCTGTAGATGATGGCTGTAATAACACATGACATTACTGTGAAGATAGTAGTTGTAGAAGAAGATACAACATCTGATGTATACAACTTTTGTAATTGTGGTTAGTGTTCTGTGTTTTATACGTGTGTGTCTTTTTTGCCTAGGACTTCCAATGGTTAATCATGGAAATTACATAGTACGTCTGGGCCACTTTGTGAGTTGGCTCGGCGAACAAGCAGAAGCTTTGGGTGTTGAGATTTATCCAGGCTATGCAGCAGCTGAGGTAATAATGACATCAGTGTGTATATGAAAAGCGTTTTTGGAACCCACTTCACTTAACTCCCAATTTATTTGTACATTCACAAAATTCCTCTTAAAAGAAGTGTATTGTGAAAACTTTGTTTCAGTGCCTAAATTCCCTGGCCCAGATCCAGCAAAGTGCAAGTGGATCATACAGTATATTAATAAATACATAATCTTCAAGTTTGACCATTAAAGACGTAGTGCTTAAAAGTTCTGCATTAGAACTATTTATGAATGGATTAAAATGACAGATCGTTAAAATGGTTTTTTTTTGTTTGTTTAAATATTTCCAAAGGTTCTTTTTCATGAAGATGATAGTGTGAAAGGGATAGCAACTAATGATGTAGGCATTCAAAAGGATGGAGCACCTAAAGTAAGTAGCTATCTTCCCCATAACTAGCAGTCTAATTAGGGGAATTGTGATATATCTGCTTTTACTGCCATCAGTAGTCTTGCTGCAGCTGAAGAAAAAGTGTAAAATTCAGTAACTGTCTTCCCTCTCTGTATGTAAAATGGATAAATTACCTGTGAAAGTTCTGGTCTCAGAACATTGTAAACTTCTTCTGAGATTAGTAGAAAAAGCCTTCACAGAAAGGAGGTTTGTTTGAGGGTGACTTGAAGGAAATATTGTAAGGGTGTTTTGGCATATGTGAAATCAGGAAACAAAGGAAAGAATTCCAGGAACTCCTAGAAAAAAGGTGTGAAGGTGAAATAGAAAGCTGTTGTCCAGCTGGTAACCAGCAACATCTAAGAGAGTGTGCTTCTGGCTGATTTGTTTTCTTTGATATTTACAACTGCAGTAGCATTTGTTGACAGTCTGTCTACCTTGTTGGGGCAAGGTACGCACTGAATCTTTATACCTTTTTGCTGGTTGGTCACATTTCTGTATCCAGAAGGTGACTCCCTGCCCTAAGTGTTGGACTTTGATTTTTAGTGGAATCCAGAACCTGCGGTAAGTGTGTTGCTTCCCTGTGCAATACGGAGGGAGAATTTGGCACCTCAGAATAACTCAGAACAACTTTCATATGGAATTAGTTGGCTACAGAAATTATGGGTACACGTTTTTTCTTAAGATTTACTTTCTTTTATAAGGTTTCTTGCTAGTTACATAGAGTTTGAGAGGTATTTGCTTTCACATAAAAGCATGGGCTATTTTTCCCATTGAAGGCAGGGGATGAGAAGAAAAGACTCATTCTTGTTTTAAGAGAATATACCCAATAGAGGAGGAAGGGATGGCAGGGAAAAGTAATATATTTTTCCAGTATAATATTGTCTCCTGTAGGGGACAGACACGGTCTTGTTTCCAGGTATGCATTTTCTCCAGTAGGAGGTGCAAGTAATGCGTACAACTCGCTGCGGTAATAAAGATTAATTGGGGGTTTGGTTTGGTTTTGGTTTAAAATGGGAAGGAACTATGATTTTATATTTTTTTTTTAAAGCATCCTCAAAACTTTTTTTTTCCCCCATTTATTCTGGAAGAATTTGTGTCTATTAACTTCTTTAATGTACATAATTAGTGTGCCACTACTGCAAACTTTTTGAGTATTCAAGTATTTTAACTGTCAGTTAGATCAGCTGATAATACCTCCAGCATATAAAAGTTCAGGTAGATAAACATAGTTTGTATAACCTTCAAGGCAAGAATATCTTCAATGTGTTTGTACAGAGCCTAATCAAATAGGCTGTGGTTAATGAATAGTGTTTCACCTTGCAGTCAGCACCAATCACAAAAATGCCAATGGTAAAAATACATAGTAAAAAGTTGCACATTGACTCTTGTGTAGATGCTGGAGAAGGATGTTAACTGTGAAACAGAACTTTACACACCACTGAAATGTTTCAAATTCATGAATTTCTGATATTTACAATGTGGAGTTGTAGTTAATTGATTTATTTTATATATAAATCTACTTTAAATTGGACAGTATATATTTTTAATCTGTAGATTAAGTAGTAAGTCCCTGTAGTTCTCTTAGTAATTTGTAAGATTAATTCATTTTCAGGTTGACAATCAGAAATTCAAAGTACATACAAAAATTGGCAAAATCTTATAATTCCTGTTTAAAGGTAATTCCCGACTAGAGGGAACATTTTCATTTGATAGCGTTTTTCAGAGGTTTCCAACCAGTAAGTTACAAGCAGATTTCTCCTGAGAGACAATTTAAAACCAAAGCAATAAGCTTCTCCAAGACATATGCTGGTTTACCTTGAGATGATTTCATTGGGTACTGCTGGATATCTTCATCCAAAACTGTTTTCATTATCTTTTTCAACATTACACTTCTGTCTCAAATCAAGCTTTTTTCTTTTTTCTCTGCAAGATTATGTATATTTAGAATCTTGAATCCTTATATTGCAAGTACAATCTACTAATATTCTTGTCCAATGTGCTCACATATGCAGGTGACACGCTTATACATGAAGTATGCTGGTTCCCCTTACCTTACTGTCAATCTCATTGTTGGAATTTTTTATGGGAATTTTTTCTTATAATAATACTTAATGTTAGTTTAATTTTACTGTCTGTTTTAATATGTAAGATTGGTGTGATATTATAGTAACTTTATTCTCAGGTAGTGGGTTCCTTTGGGCGCAGGGGTGATGCAGGTTTTTCTGATCTGGTGTGTCTGTCTAGCCTCTCTCATATGTGTATGGCGGGACACACAATGTTTTATTGTAACGTGACTTCATGAGCAAAAATTAAAGTGTGAAGTTATAGGTTAAGATTCTTTGTTCTGGCAGGGTTCCCTTGCACCATATGAACGAGCAGGTGTGATATAAGTATCCTCCGATCTGGAAGAGATTCTCTTTTTCAGTGACGAATGGCAATTCACTGTAGTGCTGCTCTACTGGAATCCCCTTACAAGATTTGCCAGGGGTGCATCATGGTGAGGTGGAAAAGACAACTGGACTAGAGCCATAGCTTGCAGTGGTTTGTAGGTTCTGGGTAGTGCCACAAAGCAGTGTAAAATCACTTTATTGTCCTCCGGTTTCTTGCTATGAGTTTGGTGTGGCACTGCTGATGGAATGCTTTACTTTTGCAGGCTACCTTTGAAAGAGGCTTGGAGCTCCATGCTAAAGTCACAGTCTTCGCTGAAGGTTGTCATGGGCATCTAGCCAAACAGCTGTACAAAAAATACAATCTGAGGGAGAAATGTCAACCCCAGAGCTATGGCATTGGACTGAAAGAGGTATCACCTGCATAATTTTAACAATTAAGGAAAATACTGTGAAGCTATAAGGTAGTTTCTGTTTGCTTTCAAGCTAGTTTATGTAAGACATTAGAATGATAGATTTTGAGTTATGCTTTCAGACTTTAGGATCTTTGGTATTCTGAAGCTGATCAGAGAAGATGCTCCCTGAATGTCTTGACTGTTTCATTTCAGCTGCTTCTTCTCTTATATCTGTGTTATAACTAGAGGTACTTGTGAATCCACTCTGTTAATGTCTTAATTTGATTTCAAATTACATTCATTTGTGAAATCTGTTTTCCGTACTTTTACTAAATGAGAGAGGGATTCATGCTGCCTAATTTTAGGGGGTTTTAGTACCTAAGGAGGGGAGGAAAGGCTTTCTATGGATTTTCTGTATATTAATTAGAGAGAGAGAGGAAAAAAAGGGCTGTTCCAGGTGATGAGTCATGCTCTCTGAAACACCTTCTGGATGACCTTTTTTCTACAAAAAAAATCCCTTTACTGGGCTTATAAAATTGGGTTAAGGATCAGATTTCCTTTTTCAAATATTTTATACTCAGGAAATATCACTCATGAAAAAGAGCTGTATTATTTAGACTATGTTCAGAGTTTGACTATAACATAATCTTTATTTATTACTTTAAGCATGTGCTTCCAGCTACAAAATATTTGTTAAATAATTAGTTTACACTTCTGCAGAGAATAACCACTCTGTAAATGTTCCTATGTATGACATAGGATTAGTTACAATTTCTAATACCTAAGTTGTCATTAAAGCAGGGTTTTGCTGTAGAGTTCCTTTGCTTCCAGGTGAGACTGTGTCTGCTTTAGCAAATAGTACAGTCCAATAGGAATGGATCTGTAAAGTGAAATAGTTGGTGCTGATGAGCTGATACCCGTGCTATGCACATTTCGGGGTTATTTTTACTTGGGACTAGCTTTGGTCTAGTCCCATGGACTGAGTGCCCTTTCGTGACTGGAGGAATGCTTTAGATCGGCTTCTGGATCTTACTGTCTTACAGTTTAGTTTCATGTGAAAGGAATCCAGTTCATGCCTTCCATGGCTGCTGTACGATGTGAACCAAAGCACACTAAGTGGGAGGAATCGGGAGTCCCGTTCAACAATGTGCTCCTTAATCTAAGCTGGAACATTAATGTAGATGTGCCCTCCATGCTTGAGCTGATCTAATGATGCTCAACTGCCCTCTGTTATTAGACTGCACCTGGCACGTAACTCCATGGTGAAGAGAAGTTTTGTCAAATGAGCAGAAAATTGACTGACTAGTGGAAACATGGAGGTGCTTTTGTATGTTCACCGTGGGTCAGATGAGTACTGGAGATGTGTAGGAGAGAGCAGAGAGAGGACAACCTGTTTGACAGCAAATATTTGGATCAACTCAGACATATTGTTAAGCCTGAACTTGAAAAACTTGTGAAGAAATTGCAGTGATTCATATGAAAAAATAAAGTTTTTAAAGAAAAGAGTCAATGTAAGCATTGCATTACTTAGCAGAAGTATCTATCAAAGTCACTAATATAAAGGGTCTTGTGGTTGAATGAAAATTTTGGGTATAGCGCTGGAGTCTCAGTCACGTTTTCTGATGCGCAGCATTTCAAGAAAGAGAAGTATTAGGAAATTCTTAAATGGTAATCCAAAACAAGTATTTGTACTTATTACCTGGTATTTTGCTGTATGAGTTTCTGCATTGGTCATGGCAGTAAATTAATTTTCTTCTATACTTAATTGGGTGTTTGTCTTTTATTATATTATTGTGAGGCCATTACTTTGCAATAGAAAGTAATTTTTTTGTGATCTTCAATGCAGTTATGGACTATTGATGAAAAGAAATGGAAACCAGGAAGAGTAGAACATACTGTAGGCTGGCCTTTAGACAGACATACATATGGAGGATCCTTTCTTTATCACTTAAATGAGGGTGAACCTTTAGTTGCCCTTGGATTTGTGGTAAGTGAAGTTGGTTTTTTCATGCTTGTTTATTGTTGCTTGGTCTTCATTTTTATGCAATTTCTTTTCTCTGTTTTAATGTGAAGATGAAAACACAAGAATAGCGACAGACCAAATTTAGTACTTCCTCAATCTTAAGTGCGTTTATTCTCATATTAGGGAAGGTTAATTTGTTATATTAATCTGTCTCTAATCCAGTGTCTTTTATTAAGAACAAAATGGAAAACTTAGAGGTACATTTTTTTACAAACCAAACGAATTTTGGTAAAGCCAAAACCAGATGATTAATCAAAACTGTGCTCGCAAAATTTTTACAAGTTAGGAAGTACCTAAATCACGTACACTTTGTACAATTCAGTTTCCTCATTCATGTGTCAACCTTGGCTGCGTATGCGCTTTGCGAGAGAAGCATATAAAGTGGAAGCACTCTGCAGTTCCACAAGCAGCATCCCTTCCATTTCTGAGATCTTCAGTTTGTTCTGATCATTCTTCACCCCCATTCGACTTGCCCTCTTTAGCAACTGTCTTTCTGAATTGGACAGGCAGCTTCTTCCTTCCTGCTGCCTCTTTATCAGAAGCATTGAGATCACTAGAGAGACTGTGTCATACTGCCAGCCAGTGATGCAAGGAGCAATGGTAGGAGATGTTTTTCTAGCACCTACACTCCTAAATGAAGCATGCACTATTTATCCTGTGCGTGTGCTTTATACACAGGCGACGTAAGAGTCAGGGACACAGTCTGGATTTTTAGCAGCATGGGATTGAGGTGACCCTGGTCGCCTAGATTTCAGAAGGATTCTAGAGTGTGTGTGTGGGGATGAAAGCTGTATTTTTGTCTAACCATTTTGTAAGAAACATTGAAAAAACTTGTTAGCTTTTCTCAGACATGCATACTTGTCCTGTGCAGATTTCCAATATTGGAATTAATAAGTATGGACAGTAGCATTCAAATTCTGTTTGTTTTTAGAAGGGTAGAGAGCTTTGATTCTTACAGAGAATGGTAATCAGTAATATTATCTCCAGTTCAGGTAGGAGAAAATCAACTTTTGTGTGAACATACAAGCACATTTTTGTCTTTGAACTTTACTGCTATGTCAGTCTGAGCTGATTCTTACAGAAGGATTATCTTGCACTTGTTTTGAAAAATTGTTCGTTAACTTTATCTAGCAAGGAAAGTAGATGCAAGCAGTGCTCTAAAAGCAGTGACCTGCCACAGAAATCAAGGTACTGTTTGTTGCTGACTCATGATGCATTTTGTTATTTGTCTCAAATAAAGCTTACAGGAACCAGAAATAATCCTTTTCTCAAAAGAGCAAATTCAGCAACATAAGTCCTTTTATGAGTATATTAAAGATGGGAAATGCAACGTATATTTTTGAGCAAATTCTCAAATGCATAAGATAAGAATCCCAGGTATGCAGCCAATTGGCAGAGTCTTTTCCCCCATTTTCTGCTTTCATCATTGCTCCTCTGTGCTTTATTACAATGGCTTACCTGATTGGAAATGATAATTGACTCCGCTAAACGGTGTGAAGAACTGTTTAAAATATGTGAGCACAAGGACATAACTACCTAGAAATAATTGTTTACCTCTTCTTCCAGCTTTTCTAGGGCAAAGAGCTTTTGAAACACAAATTTAAAACAAGTTTTCTTGCTTATCCTGCCCATTAAACCATGCTTAATTTGATTTCACTATTTTATTTCAAAGACAGATGGAAGGTGGTTACAATGGAGTTAAATACTTTCCATGCTTCAGGTTTCAGGTAGGGCAGAGAACAGTCTTATAGCAGCAAATTCTTAGATTTGCTTCTACTGTACTGTTAATAGAATGTATTTTTGGCAGTAGTTTCTCCAAGTAGAAAGATCCTGAGGTTGGTTTAATATAAAGGACTGTCGTGGTTTAACCCC